CAGTCTTTAGTTTTATACAAAAATAATCAATTTGGCACCAAGTACTTTGCTAAGTGCAAGGGTTATCAAGATACATAATAAACTGTCCTTCCCTACAAGTCTCTTTTAGTGGGAAAGGAAGACTGTTTTATAACATTCTGTAATACAGGTGAATGGTAAGGCATCATGCTGCCATTGCTAAGGTACATGGTCTGAATCCATGAGTTGCTCTGTGGGAGAAAGATGTGCAGTCTTGTTCTGTGTGATTTGGGGCCTCACAGCGAGTGTGAAAACTTGCTGAAAAGTAGGTATGGGTTGATTCCAACTCAATGGTACACAATAACAACAACAGCAACCCTTACCTTAGGTCAAATATGAATGATTGAGCTGTGGCAGAGGTAGAGCATCAGAATTTACTAATCCCAAAGCTGAGGCTCCCCTGACAAGGTAGGAGACATTTGACTTGGTTGTTGGACAATGAGGGATGGGAAAGAAGGGGGCCAAGACATGTTCAGGATGAGGGAATTGCTCAGTGTGACTGAGCACAGGATACATGGAAGAAGTGGTGGGAGACCATATCTGAATTGTAGGTTTAGGTGACAGATGGGTTACAAACCAAGCCAAAGAGTTTGGAATTCACGCAATATTTAGAGTGGAACATTTGAGATGCTTTAGGAAACAAAGTTACATTTTAAGACCTGATTTAAAAAAAAAATTAGTGATACCATAGTTTCCTGGGAAAAACTAAAGTCAAAGGTAAAAATTGGGTTACTTCTTGAACACATATCAGAGGTAAGTTATATTTCTTTTAAATATTTGATACGGTATTTTTTGTTATTATAGTTATTTGTTGATTTGGCTCTTTAATTTCTAATACATCCTGAAGCTAACTGGGCCTTGAATGGAGTCTTGAAGAATGGGAAAGGGTTTAGTAAAAGCTGCTTTTTTTATCTTGGGAAATAACAGTGGTGGTATAATGTATTGCGCAGTTGAGAAGTCTGTGGTTTAACTGCCAGCCGTTCCACTGGAAAAAGATGGAACTGTTGGCTCCAGCGGAGGGTTGCCACAAGGCCAAGGGGGTTCTACAGCAGCAGATTTGGGTTTGCTGTGTATATTGGCTTTATTTTGGGGTTTGGCTTTTATCTGAAGCATCCAAGAATTCCTGGAAATTGCATTTATACCACGGGACCAATTGGCAGCATCAGGATGGATAATGGAGAGCTTGAGATTGTTCACAGCTTTAGTTTGCTTGGCTCCACAGTCAACACTCGTGGCAACAGCAGCCAGGAAATTAAAAGACATATTGTCATGGGAAAGTCTGCTGTTAGGGACCTCTCCAAAGTACTGAAGAGCAATGGTGTCTCTCTAGAGACTAAGGTGTGTCTGATACAGGCCATTGTCTTTGCAATCACCTGTTAGGCGTCAGAGAGTTGGACAATGAACTAGGGAGGATAGAAGGAGAATTGATGTCTTTGAGCTGTGTGCTGGAGAAGAATACTGAGTGTACCATGGACTGTTAAGAAAACAAACAGCTTCATCCTGGAGAGGGTTAAACTGGGTTGCTCCCTGGAGGCAAGGATTCTGAGGCTTCGTCTGACATACTTTGGACATGTTGTAAGGAGGGACTGGTCCTTGGAGAGGAACATCATGCTTGGTAGGATGAAGGGACAGCACAGGAGAGGAAGACGCTCTATAAGATGGATTGATTCAGTGACTGGGGTAATCAGGATGGGTGTATCGGAGACACTGTGATTGGCACAGGACAGAGCAGAGTTTAAAGCTGTTGTATATTGCGTCGCTATGAGTCACAAGTGACTTGACGGCACATAACAACAACAACAACCACAACTCATTTCTTGTAGTCATTTTCACATTCTTTACATGTGTTAAGGGAGACACGGCATTAGAAACTAACATTAAAACACATTAACAATCCATATATTTAAATCACATTAGTTGTAAAACGTCAAACCTTCATTGCCGTTGAGTTGGAACCTACCCATAGCTGACCTTCCGGTTGGTTTTTCTGAGCTGTGGATCACTGGAGGAGACAATCATCTTTTGTTTCTTTTGTGGAGCTGCTGGTTGATTCTAACCACTGGAGAAGTGTGGCCTCTGACTTAGCAGTGCCACTCTCTGTGGGCTCTGCCAGCAGAGCTGCCAGGATTAGTGACAGTGTGGAGTTCTTTCGAGTTTATAACATAATCCATAATCCATGTGCTAACCTAAGAGCAATTTGCATATTAAAATAAACAGAAAATACCCAAGTCAAGCCTCATTCAGAGTGACCCTCCATCTGATTTCTGAAGCTCTATGGAAATCTTTTCAGGGGCAGGTTGCTCACTTTTCTCCCTTGAAGGGGCTGGAGAATATAAACTGCTGACCTTTTTGTTTAATGGCCTGGCACATTATGCACTACACCACCAAGGCTCCTTTCATTACATATTGTTGTCGTTGTTATGTGCTGTGAATCAAAACTTACCCAGAGCTGCCCTCCTGCAGGTTTTCAGAGGCAGTGAATTGTGCTGAAGGAGATTGCACATTATTCCTCCCACTTGAACTGCGTGCCTCAGGATTGCAGCGCAGCTTCTTACCACTAAGCCATCAAAGCCCCCTTCTTTACATACTGTCTCACTTCAAACTTTTACAACATGGTATCCTTATACCATTTCATAGATAAGCCGAAGGCTGAACAATTAGACTGCCAAGATCACAGAGAGAGGAAGGTTTTTGATACTCTTCCCAGGCTTCCTTGACATGCTTTCCCTTTGCTCTCTCCATTATGACCATTTTAGCCTTTTCCTGCACTCTATTTCTTCATCAAGAAAAAGGATTTATGCCCAGAATGTTTTCTTCCAGACACTCACAAACTGATCTTTGCTGGTCCTAGTTTAAAGGCCACCTCCTCAAAGAAGCCTTCCTTAATTTTAATTATACTGTCTGATAATCTCCTATTTCTTCATAGTATACCATCTTTTGAGTTTATCTATGTATTCTATCTTCTCTTCCACACATGAAATTCTAAATTCCATAAGGCAAAATATTTTATATGCTTTATACATATCAAATATATACGTCTATATCTGGAGCATTTTAGAACAGTCTCTAGAAATTAGTACATTCGATAATTCTTTATTTAAGAAGTATATGGTTAAATGACTAGATGAATGCCCTAAATTTATTCTTCTATCTCATGCTCACTAGGTGTTTTGAGTTGTTATTTTCTGCTACCTAGCTCATGAGAAGAAAACTAGCTGATCATATAACACTTCAAACTGTGCTTTCAGGCCCCAGTCTGATGAGTTTTAAAACCCAAGTACTTATTGAGAAAAGATACCTACATATCCTCTCTTTCTCAGTAATGAAATATCCCTTAATAATAGCTTAAGTTTGTAGTTCATCTATAATACCTAGTATGTAGGATTAGAGTACATGTGAACTCTTCAGATGAATTATTTTTAAAAGTTGGTCTTTTCCTATTGCATTTACATTTATTGATGTATGTAGAAGAATATTGAGATTTTAAAAAATGGAAATTTTTTTTCCTGGCTATTTTGTTTTTGTTTAAAATACTAGAAATTAATACATATATAGGCTGGGCCATAAATGAGCAAATTCATATTATCTCCACATGTAAAAAAACAGTCATAACAGGATAAACTCATTTTTAGCCCCCTTCAAACTGCATTTTTCTTTCGTGGTTTCAGACTGGATTTTTTTTTGCCTATAACTTTCCTTTTGTCTTAAAAAATTCTGAAACAAGTCACTTATTAAGATATTAACCTCTTCTTTTCTCACATATCTTACTTATTATATAAGAGTAGTTTATTGATTAACTCCTTTCTTAGAGAAGGTGGCCTGTGACACCTCTCAGTGTTCTAAGAGATTGATCTTGATCTTACCTGACTTAAGTATTTAGCTCTTTAAAAATGATATAAAGAGACTCAAATTATTGACTCTAACCTATAAAAGAAGCAGAACAATTCAAAATCCACCTACCCTTTACCTTGATCCCTATTTTCTCCAAAACCACGCTATAATACCAATGAACAGAGTAACGGTTGATGACCAAAATTTTAAGGCATTCTACATATCACTGGTTGGTTTAATAAAATTAATTAGCCTGCCACAGAGAAAATTTACTAGCGTGCTGGTTAATTTCACAGTGTAAAGTCAGGGAAGAGAGGTAGAGTTGAGGGAACAAACCTTATTAGTTTTGAATAATTATTTAAAGATGTGGACTTTGCCCATTCTAAATATCTTCGATAACCAAAGCCAGTATGACTTTAAAATCTCGGTGTTTATACCCCGGTACATTTGGGAAGGAATCTCCTTAGATGAAATCATATGCATGTTAATTCATGGCTAAATGACTTACTTAAGATATAGAACAATAAGATTCCTAATAAAACCATGGGAATGAGAAATTGCCTTAAGACTGGTTCATGGGAGGTTTCTATAATCTTAATTTGCCATTGATGCAATTAATGCTTTTTCTTGTCTTTTTAATCCAAACAAGATGTTTGCAGTGGCCACGGAAAAGTGCCTCAAATCACATGCCTGAATTCATTTAATTTGCTAACATTGTCTTTTTTTCTCTCTCTTGCTCGCTCTCTCTTCCTGGTAATGGGCAAGAGTCAGTTCTGGTGCATTAGGTATTAAATCTCTTCAATTACCAGCCGGGAAGAAAGATTTAAAAAAATGTGCTTCAAACTTCCAAACTGATTTTGTTTTACAGCACAAACACTTCTCCTGTGGAGCCTAAATTAAACTACAGAAAGGATACAGAGCTTGAGGAATTAAACAAGGCAGGGCCAAGGCCCAGGCCAGCGATAGGAACCATTAGGCTTCCTTTCATTTTGTGCCTCTTGATATAAAAGGGAATTGGAACATGCTGAAAGGCACAACAATTTTGTGTAAGAAGGTGTGATATTACATTGCTTAGAATCTAGACTTGAAGTTGGAGGTAATATGGGAAATCTAATCAAATCCTTTTTTTCTTCTGTTTGGATGTGTGGCAGCTATTTTCAATGTAGACGACTCTGTGGTTGATCTGGAGACGCTGGCAGCGCTGTTTGAAAATGTGAGTATCAAAGACATAAAAACCTGACATTTCTCTTTTTCATAAGCTTTATCAATAAAAAATGTTAAGGTCAGGAAAATGATTTTTTTTTTACTCTTTCTACCTAAAAAATTACTAAGCCATTCATATGCTCCAGTAGGAAGGCTTTTTGCCTCACATGAGAGATTCCAGCACAGGAACCCAACTTTGAGTTGGACAAGACATGAGAGAAGCACTAGGTTCCCAGCTCTCATTGTGGATCTGGATTAGCGAATCTTGTTACCAACTTTCAAGGGAGGGTAGTTCAAGGTGTAGACCACTCATGTGCCGTGTTACCCACCATCCGAGAGAAATTAATCTACCTGTTTCATGGTCATGTACACTACACCTGTGCCTGTCTTTGAGAAAAGGTGATGTAATACGAGTGTGAACGCTTACTCCAAATCGAATGAGCTGCTGATGTTGAATATGGGAAGCTGTAGAATATGCTGAGTGTGTATTTGGGCTCTTAACATTTGAAATCTAACTCTACCACTGTCTGCTAAATCACTTTGGGCAAATTTATTTAAACTCCTTAAGCCTCTTTGCCCTTTAGTACAATGGAGATTGTAATGGGTTCTACCTGTCTTAAATATCTTTGATAGCCAAAGCCAGTCCATATGGGAAGGAATCTCTGAAATCGTGTGTGTGTTAATTTGTGGCTAAATGACTTATTTAAGATATAGAATGAAAAGATTCCTAGTAAAACCATGGGAATGAGAAATTGGCCTTAAGACTGGTTCATGGGAAGTTTCCAGAATCTTAATTTGCCATTGATGCAATTATTGCTTTTTCTTGTCTTTTTTTAATCCAAACAAGATGTTTGCAGTGGCCATGAAAAGGTGCCTCAAGTCTTTGTGTATGTTAAGTGAGAAGTCAGTACCCAAAGCAGTAGCTGTTTGAACAGCAAATGGCACTCTACACTAATATGATCTTTTGACTTGGGTTATATGTGGAAATAACCAGCAGAACCTGCAGGCTGTGCTGCAGAGAAGCTGCAGGAGAGTCAGAATCCCGACAGTTGTTACTTGTTTTGGTGCACTAAGTATTAAAATGTAAAAGCAGAGATTAAGCCAGATCCTCTCCTCCACGAGCAATGGTGTTTCCCAAGAAGCAGCCTCGGGCTCTGCACTAGGCTCACCAAACACGAATGAGTTAATTCAGTACTAATGACCCTCTTGGACCCTAAGTCTCCTTTCTAGAATGTATTCATATCTTTTATATATGTTGTTGTTGTTGTTGTTGTTGTTGTTGTTGTTATGGGCCTTTAAGTTCAACTCATTGTGTCCCGATGTGAAGGAGCAGAAGTTCCCTAAAAGCTTTGTCAGTAGTATTTGTGGAAACAGGTCTCTGGGTCTTTCTCCTATCGAGATACTGGATGGAGTCAAATGATTCATCTTCAGTTAGCAGCCAAAGGCTTAACCATGGTGCTGCTAGGTTTCCTTTATATATACATACCAAGAGCTGTGTGATGTATCTGAATGGGAACTTCTCAACTTATTTCATTAGTAAGGCTTCCGTTAAGAGAAAAGCACACCAGTATCAGCCCCTGGATCAATAGCACATTTGTGAAGTACCTGGAAAGCTGAGTAGACTGTGGGGGAAAGAAGGATTCACCAGTTATTTAGGAACAACCCCAAGTGAATCGTATCTAAAATGAGGATGCATATCTAAAATTGAGTGAAAGTCCATCATTTTGGCATTATGATGGGCTCAGCACCACGCGCGTGATCAGTACATTAGCTCACAGTAGGGACAAGGTGTGAGCACACAACTGAAATTGCTTGATAAATTAAGCATGTGTATAATTTAATACTAAAATAAATCATACAATGTGTACTTTCAAATGCAGAAGAAGGGAAAAGGGCGATTAAAAAATGAGGAAATTGAGAATCCATATAAGTTAAGCACGTCTGAGATTAAGAAAGCAAATACTGCTTTCTTTTTTACGGGTGTTTCCTCCATTTATGAGCAGGGTCTTTACAGGGGAATAAATAGGATCCAAAGATTAAATGCCCTGGCTTGTGTCCAGCTGAAGTCACTTGGTAGGTCTATTTGCATCTGACCACTGACCTTCAGACTTTGGCATGGAATCATCCTGAGGGTTGATGGGGTCACACTTAGAATCGTATCTATCTAGAGTGTAGATACCTAAACTATAAAGTAAGTAACAACATACAAATCACTTCCCAATACAACAAAAGGCAGGTAAATGTACACCTAATTCAAGGGCACTTAATAACAGCAATAGCATTATAGACAGAAAACCTTTGGTTGTGTGAGGCTGCCAACTGAACGTTCAGTGGTGCGAAGTCATCAGCATCCTTGTAGGGGAAAGATCTGTCAGTCTTCACAGATAAGGATTCATAGCTTTGAAAACCCTATGCAACTGTTCCATTCAGTCCTACAGGGCTGCTGTGAGTCAGGATTGACTTGAGGTCAGTGGATTGGAGTGACAGTGAGATATGTTTGATGACTTGGGTTGCTAATGTGATGCTTAAGCATTTCTGCCAAACATCTTGAGCAGCTGAAGCTCAGACTGAGATTCAAGGAATCAAACTTTAGGATCCACAGCTGTACATAGAGGTAGCACTGGAAGATTTTCATAGATTCTCATTGACTCTTGTTTTTTATTTTTGTTTTTTCATTTCGACACAGAGAGCCCAGGAGGATGAGCTGGTTAAAATAAGAAAGTATTATGAGACGTCCAAAGAAGAAGAACTGAAACTACTGGATAAACCTGAACAGTAAGCGCACTTGACCACTTTACTGTTAGGCCAAAGGGGGAACTGCAGTCTGTGTCTCCCTGCCTCCCAGGCTGCGTTAACCAGGCCTACACTGTGCAGTGAGCGAAGCCACCACACGTCATGCCTGTGACCTATTGCACAAAGCAGGATCATTGGGCTGCCAGGAAAAGCGGCGCTGAGATTTGTGCTGCGGATATAATATCTCACCCTCTTCCTCCACCCCCTCACTGCTCCCCTTTCTTGTTCTAGCAACTTGTTAATTCCTCCTAGACTAAACATTTGGCCAAAAGGGTAACCGAGAAAGGGAGAAGGCATTGCTCTGTTTAAGGTTCTGCTGATGCAGTTGAAAAAATGACATCAATAGTCACAGAACTCAAATGAATTTTCCTGAATGCCCTATCTAGCAAACACAGCCTGAATAAGCCAGCTTTGCCCCAAACCGCCCCCCCCCCCGCTCTGCCTGATTTCAAGGTGGCCTTTTCATCCTCCCTTTGCATGTATCCATCCATCTTCATTCCATTCTCTATCTCGACATGTTTCCACTGTAGCTTGGATATGTCTTTGCATCCCATCGTAAGTCCAGGAATTCAATGTGTGGCTGAGTTACTCTTGTCCTTGACTGGTCTCCTTAGACTCTGATAAGTGCAGATCATCTCTAGGGGCCCCTCAGCTGTTCAGTGATCAGAGGGATCCTTTGCTGATTGCTTCCCTGAAGGCTTCCTGGCTAGTTTAGGTCTTCCCTGTCAACAAGAGATGAGTTGAAGAAGTAGAACGCAAAGAAGTAAGCATCCAGGTTCAGGTTAACATACCGTCCCTAAAGGTATTCAAAATTTCATGGATTACACTGAAACCTTCATACTTTGCCCTTTGACCATACCCCACTCTGCATGGTGGCTTGGATGTTCAGGTCCAGAAACACATTTCTAGGAGACTAGTAGAAGTGAGGTTTACTCATTTATTGACAAAACTTTCTGATGTCTTTCATGAGTTTTCTTGCATAGAATATGGTTCTGAGACCACCAATCCTCAAAGGTTGGTTCATGGCCTAGGAATCTTACAAATCAGTGTAAATGGGGTTCTTGTGTCTTTCTGTTCGGTTTACTTATACCATTCTCTTACCAACCCCCTACCTTACAGATTAATTCAATAAATCAATTCCTGATAACAGTAGGAGCATACTTACTCAGCACTTGGCTACCAACAGAAAGAAGACAGTTCAAACCCACTTCTCACTCCAGAGAACTATGTGGCAATCCACTTTTATAAAGATCGTAACCATGGAAACTGAGTGGGGAAGTAATACTCTGTTCTGTAGGGTCACAGGATTCAGAATAGACTTGACATCATTGGGTTTTGGAACATGCTAGTAACAGATAACAAAGGAACCAAGTGTAGAATAATTGGACACTGATTAAACTATTGTGGAGTGTTTGGGGACAGTTGGGGATATCAGACATTTTACTAGTTGGAAAGAAATGCTGTTACTTTCCGCCAACAGTTGGCAGGATTTCTCTATTAAGGGTCAGATAATATATATTTCAGGCTTTCTGGATTACATTAAAGAGAACATTGAAAAGAATGGGAATCCCAGAACACTTAATTGCGCTCCTGTGAAACCTATACTTAGACCAAGAAGCAGTTGTGTGAACACAAGGGAAAATGGCGTGGTTTAAAATCGGCAAAGAGGTCAGGTTTGCTTAGATCCATTTTTCCATATCTATGGAATCTATTAATTGTGGATCCAAGCAAGATGAAGCTGTTGACAGTTTCAGTCACCTCTACATCCATGATGATTCTGCCTTTGGTCCAGTGGTAAGAATCTTGCTTTTTTTAACATTGAGATGCAATCCATACAAAAATATGCATTCCTTAATTTTCTGCAACAAGTTCAAGTTCTCTTCACTTTCAGCAAGTAAGATTGTGTCATCTGCACAATACAAGCTATTGATGAGTCTACCTCAAATCTTGATATCACACTCCTTTTCATAGAGTCCAGCTTCTCGGATAATTTACTCAGCATACAGGTTGAATAGGTATGGAGAGAGAATATAACCCTGGCATACTCCCTTCTCAATTTTAAACCATTCAGTGTTATCCTGCTCTATTCGCACAACAGCCTCCTGGCCCAGGTGTAGGTTCTATATAAGCACAGTTAAGTGCTCTGGGATTCTCATTTTTCTCGGTTGCAGTCATAACTTGTTATGATCCACACAATCAAATCCGATTAAATAATTAATTAATTAATACAATTAACTTCGCTCATTAGTGTTCAAGGCCTCAAACCTGTTCCTGAGATGATTCTGAAATTCAGGTGGTATGAAATCAAAGTCATATCTTGGCTCCTGTGGGTTTGGTTTAATTTTCCTCAGCTTCAGCTTGAACTTGCATATGAGTAATTGGTGGTCTGTTCCACAATCAGCCCCCGGCCTAGTTTTC